TGATGCTACGTGTCTCCACTTCGCTGTCGGTACATTTTCTATTATATGTGTCGTCCGATTTGCGACATTCGTGTTCCAAGCAGACGGGTGTTTTTTCAACCAAGCTAACACTATTGTTGAGTCGGTCCACAAATTTATTGAACTGAAATTAATTAGGTGGGTTTTTGTTATATGCTTTACTAAAAATGAATGCAATTCCGCACCACATAATTCTAATCGTGGTAGACTATTTTTTTTAATGGTGCTACCTTACTTTTGGCAACAAACACGTGCACGGAAGTATTAGTCATATTATCTGACCTGATGTATACTGTTGCACAATAAGCTTTTTCAGAGGCATCGCAGAACCCATGCAACTGTATATTGCAGTCCGGGTTGTATTGTACCCACCTTGGTATCTTTATGGATTCTATTCCCTTAAACTGTTCGACAAATGATTTCCATTTCGAATTAATGGATTCAGAAACTTTGCTGTCCCAGTCGACCCCATCCAGCCATAGATCCTGTAAAAGTATCTTCGCTTGAATAATTATCGGAGTTAACCAACCGGCGGGGTCAAATAATTTGGACACATTTGACAACATTTTTCGTTTTGTCACATTTTCAGCCACCGAGAGTGACTCCGTTTTATATGAAAATGTGTCAGATTTTCCATTCCATCGAATGCCCAGAGTTTTTATAGCGCTATTGTCTTTGATTTTTAGTAATTCCTCTTTTAATAAATCTTGAGGAGATATATACGCCAGAAGGTTTGGGTGATTTGCTGTCATTTTTTTAATAGAAATCCGGCCGATTTCAACGTTTCTATTATTTCATGTTGTGCTTGTATTGCGGATTCGATTGTATGACCGCCTGCTAATATGTCGTCGACATATATTTCTTTTTTAAGTATATTTGTAGCTAGCGGCCGCTCAATTTGCCATTCTGTGGCCAGCTGCAATAACGTTCTTATTGCCAGGAATGGCGCACAGTTAATACCAAATGTTACGGTGTTTATTTCGTAATCTTCGATTTGTGCGGTTTCGTTTCGTCTAAACAATATTCTCTGATACGGTATATCAGACTCGTGTACAAATATTTGACGGTACATCTTCTCAATGTCACCATTAAATACATATTTATATAACCGCCAATTTAAAATTACAGACGTTAAATCGTTTTGTAACGTTGGGCCTGTATATAGAACATCATTCAATGAAAATGAACTATTTGTTTTGCATGACCCATTAAACACTACTCTAACCTTTGTGCTCATACTTTCAGGGCGAAAAACTGCATGATGCGGCAAGTAGTACGAGCAGTACTTTTCACCATTCTTTATTTCTCTTGGCATACATCGTTTCATATGCCCAAGTGATATGTACTCGTTTAAAATGTCTCTATACGTGTTTGCGAGCGCTTTGTCTTTATTTAACCTTTTTTCCATGTTTTCATATTGGCGTAGAGCCTTGAATCGAGACGATTCTAAAAACATGGATTGTGGATATTCTTTTTTAAATGGCAATTTTACTTCAGATCTACCGTCCGGCCGACGGCACGTTGTTTTCTTGTAGAAGTTTTCACAATACTCATCTTCTACGGTGGGAATATAAGCCCGTTCGACTTCCTCTTGTTCCCATTTTCGTAATAATACGCCTATGTCTTCTTCCCGTTTCGAAGATACTTCGACTGTAGCTAATGCCATACTGTCGTATTCAATTGGTCCGTATATATACCACCCGTATATTGAGTTTTGTGCTATCATATTGCCTAGCACATTTTTTTTGATACCATTCAGCATTATTGATGGAAGAACATCACTTCCCATCAACATATCTATTTGAGCTGACACTGCAAACCCTGGGTCAGCTAGTTTTAAATCTTGTATTTGGTTAGTGTTTGAGTTTGGAAGAGATCTAGTTGGCAGTAAACTAGTTAGGTTTCGTACCACTATAACTTCTGCTTCCAGTTCGAAAGGTGTTTTGTCGACACATAATGTAATATAACAAGATTTATTCGCATTTGTTACTATTATACCACTCAATCCACTGATTTGGAAATCTTCCTTTTTTGTGGTGATGCCTATGCGGTTTACTATTTTATTTGTAATAAATGTTTTTTTAGATGCTGAATCTAACAATGCACGTACTGTGAATTTTTGTCCTGAATGCATAATTTGAACTAAAGCAGTTGGTAACATAACGTCATCGTGGTTAATTGTTGCTAGTGTTTGAACGTTAGTACCAGATGACAAGTCACTGCTTGATTCGTCAGTAGTGAAATGTGTTTCTGTTCGGGATTGAATGTAATTGTTTTCACGCGCTACGATATTAGCGCTCGATTGTTGTTGCGAATTGTTCGTTAGATGCAGTTTCGTATGATGCTTTTTTCTGCATTGCATACATCTATGCATACTGACACATTCTTGGCTTGTGTGTCCACTTGCAAGACAATTGTTGCATAAACGTTTTTCTTTTGCAACTTCGATTCGCTGACTAGCTGACATATTATTAAATCTGGGACAGTTTCGAAGTATATGATTTTTTGCACATAGAATACATCTATTTGAATTTGTGTTCGTATTATATTGAGCTCCGAAGTTGTATCGTGAAGATTGTGGAGCCTTCTGTGTTTTTATACGACTAATTCGTTCTAACACTTGTTGTCTGTTGATCAAAAATTCTTCCATTTGAGACCACTTTGGTAAGTCCGCATGTGACTCAAGTGACTGTTCCCATAACGTCAACGTTTCTATTGGAAGTTTTGTCGAACAAAGGTATATTAAAATTGGATCCCACTCGCCCACACTGATGTCGTGTGCTTTCAAAATTGCGAGACAATCACTGATTGTTAATTGGATCCTTTTTATGTCTGCGTTATTTTCGTTTTTTGCGGGCGCTATTTCGAATAAAATCCGCAATTGATTGTCTACCAAAACTCGCTTGTTTTCGTAGCGTTTCTTTAGTGCGTCCCATGCTAATGAAAAGTTTAGATCTGACAATGAGAATCTGTCTACGATTCTGCCAGCTTCACCTTTAGTTTTATTTTTTAGGTGATATAATTTTTGTGCTGGTGTCAGTCTGGGGTGATTGCCATATATGGCCATAAACATGTCCCTAAAGGTGGGCCATTCTTCATAGCTTCCGTGGAAGTCTTTTGTATCACACGGAGGAACTTTAATACACACTTCTGACATGTCAAATGTCGTAGTTGGGGGATACATGGCCGAACTATGAAAAAGTGAAGGATTTGTTTGGTCTTCTCGTCCTGAACTGGTGGACTTTTGAAGAGACCTTTTTTTCACAACTTCCATTAAGTTCGATTTAGTTAATTGGTATTGATCCCTTGCGGATTCAAACTCCAATTTCGCAACATTTTTAAAATCATCGTCGAATGCCTTGTCATCGGCAAGATAGACGTTTTCATAGGCAGTACGTACATTATGCCAGTCTTCATCTAGTGATTCTAATTTTGTTTCTATCAGCGAATCTGACAGATCGTTTTCGGACATATCTAATATTTTAGCACATGCTCCCATTAAATTCTCCATGTCGAAGTGGAACCTTGCACAAATTACGTTTGCCATTTCTTTAATTTGTAATATTATTTATTTAATTTGAGTTTTATTATTTGTATATTTTTTATTTTTTTTTATATATATTTATGGACTTTTATTATTTATTGTTATATTATTTGGGTCTATTGTGCCTTTGGGTAACTTTCTGCTTTATTATAAAAATAGAGAGAAGTTAGAAAAATTTAAAAAAATATTAGGCTTTAATAGGGCTTTGCTCAACAAATATTTATTTTTTAAATTTGGAGAGCAAGTTTCTTATTATATTATATTATTATTAGGTATTATTTTTATTTATATTTATTATTGTTTCTTTTTATTTTATTGGTAATATTTTTATTTTAATTTTTATTTGTTTTTATTATAGAAATGGAATGCAATATAATGTAATGCAATTTCCACTAACGTACGTTACGTTTAATTACGTTTGTAACGTTTATAACATTTGATACGTTTTGGTGGTTTACGTATGTTACGTGTTCACTACTTGGACTATCGTATTGATGTGAACAAGAGTACTCGGTATCGGTTACTCTTTAAACGTGTGTCACTATTACAACAAAACAAAACAATATGTCTGTCTGTGACTATTGTAAATAATGAAAATTAAATACAAATTTAACAATAGTGAATTGTTTTAATTGGTGTTTTATTGTTATTCAAATATTTGTGATTGATTTATTTGATAATAAATAAATTTTCTTTGCAAAACAAATGAAGAATTGTTTTTGTTTTATTCACTTATTGTCAGTGTTGGGCTTTGCCGTGTTTGTGGCTGAAATATAAGCAGACGGCAGGGAGATGTCAACACTGATGTGGAATAAAATAATTTTGCTGAAAAATTTGGTTTTTGAAGATTTTTTGAACAAATTGGTATTTAATGGCAAATCTAGGCCGCTAATTCGTTTTAAAAGGCTCGAAGTACCATGTACAGATTCCCACAAGGACGTAGGATCTGTTGGGAAGTCTAAATTCAGACGAATTTAGAGCCTTTGGATTATAAGTTGCCGGCAAAAGCAACAACTACAACACATACAAAATATACGAACAACACCACAAGTATACGCTTTATACTCACGTGATGGTACGCACAAATAAAAAGAATAGTATTCACTTTTTTTAATTATTACAACACTGTCGGGCGACAGATTTATTGGGTTTAATTTGGGTAGTTGGGGTTTTGGGAAAAGGATCAAGACGATCTTTATTGTTGCACTACTTTTAACAAGAGTGAATAGAGACGGGCGGAAATCGATTTTTGTTCCCATTTCTGAGATGGGAGGACACCGATGACTACAGGTCCAACTCGATGAGGTCGTCATCGGTGTCCATCGGTGTGGTACCCACGTACGGCTTGATGGCCGTACGTGGGTACCACAGACATCCATTGATTACATGGTGTACATTTACCATGAACCGAATTCAAGGAAACTTACCAGAGATTAATTTATATCGGACGAACATGTATATGGAACCTACATCTAAATGTGAACACAGTTTCTCAATTCAGTACGCTATGCCAAAATTCGTGCAAATCGTTTATATAGAGGCGTTAGTGCACCATTTACATAAAATCGGACGATAATATATATGGGAGCTATATCTAAATCTGAACCGATTTTCACGAAACTTTGCACACATCATTCTAGATTTAATTCAGTACGCTATGCCAAAATTCATGCAAATCAAATGATATATAGCGACTTTGGTGTACCAATTACCTAATCGGGCGAAAATATATATGGGAGCTATATCTAAAAATGAACCGATTTTCACGAAACTTAGCACACGAAACTTGACCTAATTCAGTAAGCTATACCAAATTTCTATAGCTATATGTAAATCTGAACCGATTTTCACCAATTTTTATAAGGTTCGTCCTTGGGCCAAATAAATGAGCTGTACCAAATTGTATCCAAATCGGATTATAAATGCGACCTGTACTTTGTTTCCAATTTAACACCAAACATATGCACAAAGCCATAATACCCTTAACCACAGTGTTGTGAAGGGTATAAAGAGCGCTTCGTACTCGAATTGTACGAATTCTGTCATCAGTATCACTTTTTTGATTCAGATATTTCCACCTTTATCATTTTCATAAAAACAAGTTGGGAATTGGCAACACCTACATAAAGGTGGTTTGTGAACTTAGTAAACGTCTGTGGTTTGTATATTTACTAACACGTTGCTATAATTGCCAATTCTTTGCTATAATGGCCAATTCTGATCTAAAAAAGGGACAATTTGTATGGGGGCTACTATTTCCCCTACCCCCATCAAAAAATTAATTACCCTATGTTACCTCAAATGTACTCAAAAATCGACTGTGAAAATTTCATGAAAATCCGTTCGGTAGTTTAGGAGTCTATAGGTAACACTGATCAAACAAACATACAAACAAAAATAAATTGATTTATATATATATGTATATTCCTCCGATTTTAAGTGATAAACCAAGGACCCAAAATATGTCCGATATGTACAAACATTTCGTTGAAATCGCTTTAGATATGGCTTCCATTAATATTTTCGTCCGATTTTAAGTTAATGATGCCCCAAACTCCTTATTTTTGTCAGATTGAACCAAAATTTTGCACAACGTACAACACTTAGTATAACATGACGTAATTGTTTTTGTACAAATTCAGACATAGCCCATATATTCGACGGACTTCAATATACCCAAAGTGGCGAAGGATATCATATAGACATCGCTCTAGGCTCAATTCAGTACGTTATGCCAAGTTTCGTGCAAATCGAAAGATATATAGGGACTTTGGTGCACCATTTACATAAAATCGAACGAAACTATACATGGGAGCTAGATTTAAATCTGGACCGATTTTCACGAAACTTGGCAGACATCACTATAAGCTCATGTCAGTATGTTATGCCAAATTTCGAAAGATATATAGGGACTTTGGTGCACCATTTAGAAAAAACGAACGAAACTATATATGGGAGTTATATCTAAATCTGCACCGATTTCCTCCAATTTCAATAGGGTTCGTCCTTGGGCCAAATAAGTGAACTGTGCCTTATTTCATCCAAATCGGATCATAAATGCGACCTGTACTTTGTTCACAAAAATACGTACAGACGGACGGACATGCGTAAATCGACTCAAAAATTGATTCTATGCATATTCTCAAAAGGAACCATGGGTCTATCTCGATTCCTTTTGCCTGTTACAAACATATGCACAAACACATAATACCCTGTACCAGTGTGTGGTGAAGGGTATAATGAAGTGATGTATAATACTAGAGTTTTACAGATTTTTTTCGGGTAGCCCCCATATAAGGGTACCCCCAATTTTCGGTATTTTGGGGGTTCTTGAGCGCGGTTTACAACCAAATTTGCTGCAATTTGGTATTTTGTAGTCGCATATGGTAACAAATCTCCCTCCCAACATTTATTAAAAAGGGTAACCCCCGTTTTTAAAATAAAAAAAGTTATTTTTATTTTTTTCCGTGTGTTGGGGTTGTCCCCATATAGGCGTATTCTATCTGATTATGGGGGACAGTCGTTACTCAAAATAGTCAGTTTTTACAAAGTATGGAATTCTGTTGTAATCATACTATCGTGATAAAAAATTCTATACTGACTACAATGAAATATATCGGCCAGCATTTAGCAATATCCTCCATATAATGATACCTCCTGAAGGAAGGAATTGGGATACAAAACTAAAATATTGGGTTAAAAATTCACAAATATCGGTCATTAATTAGGCGCAGCCCCAAGTATTCGCTAATTCCTACACTATGTAAATAATATTGGTCCCCTTTAGGCATAGCCTCATATAACTTTGCAATCTAAATTGCAGTAGTTTGAGGATTTTATACTCTACCATTATCACGCATTTTTTGAGGTGTCCCCATATAGGCGTATTCTACCATAGCATGGGGGGACAGTCGTTACTCGAAACAGTCAGTTTTTACCCTACAAAGTATGGAATTCTAAGATTTTTTAGCCATCTGTTGTAATCATACCGCCTTCTTCGTAATAAAAAGACTCGAACCTGACGATAATGTAATATATAGGCCTGACATCTCATCCATATAATGATACCTCCTTGAGATACAAATCTAAAATATATAGGTCTACTTTTGGGTATGTTCCCTATATTTTCTGTCAGTACACCATGGTGGAGGATATCAAAAGTTCGGCCCGGCCGAACTTAACGCTTTTTTCACTTGTTAACCTTAAACGCGTATTTCTTCTTCGTAACGAATGTCAACAGTTGGAAAAGGTTGCCGGAAAATTAAATTTTCAATTAAGATAGATTTTAATAATGTCTTTAGGTTTTGTTAGTCTTCTTTTTAAAGAGATTAGCTGAGCTGTAAGCGTGGATTTTTTAAGAAGATTAGCAGAGCTGTAAGCGTGAATTTTTCAAAGAAGATTAGTAGAGCTGTAAGCGTTGATTTTTAAAGAATATTTTTTCAAACACTACTATGAATATAAACTTGGATTTTTTTCAAGCATTAGCGGAGCTAAAAACGAATGTGGTGTTGTGTCGATAAGGGTTTTGTTAGTCTTCTACTGGACGCGTCCTATGTTGTTGAATATGGGGAAGGTGGGTATAACCACCCATCTTCCATATACCAACCAGTAACTTGCCCATAGCATATATAATATGCAAGACTGCTAAGCTTAGTTTATGAGCAATCTCAACCAAACCTTTCAAAACAGACACTCAAACTCCGCGTCTGACTATCATTGTGGTAGGCTTAGAAAAGTCAGTCTTTTTCAATTTTGAGAACACAAGGATTCGAGTGGAAGAGCACTACACACTATGTCGCGAGTTCGTATAAACAGCGGCCAAAAATAGAAGGAGTTATCGTAAGTTAATGAAATTTGGTACATGTGTTTATTATTGGCCTAAAGAGCAACTGACAAAAAATTGGATAGATCGAACCCAGATTTGGTATACCTCCCATACAAAGGGTCTTGAAAATTTTACTATTTTC